ATGGTTGGATGCTGTTGGACGGTTGGATGGATGCTGTTGGATGGTTGGATGCTGTTGGACGGTTGGATGCTGTTGGATGGTTGGATGCTGTTGGATGGTTGGATGCTGTTGGATGGTTGGATGCTGTTGGACGGTTGGATGCGGTTGGATGGATGCTGTTGGACGGTTGGATGCTGTTGGATGGTTGGATGCTGTTGGATGGTTGGATGCTGGTGGATGGTTGGATGCTGTTGGACGGTTGGATGCGGTTGGATGGATGCTGTTGGATGGTTGGATGCTGTTGGTTGGTTGGATGCTGTTGGTTGGTTGGATGCTGTTGGTTGGTTGGATGCGGTTGGATGGTTGGATGCGGTTGGATGGATGCTGTTGGTTGGTTGGATGCGGTTGGATGGATGCTGTTGGTTGGTTGGATGCGGTTGGATGGATGCTGTTGGTTGGTTGGATGCGGTTGGACACGGTTGGACGGTTGGATGGTTGGATGCGGTTGGACGCGGTTGGACGGTTGGATGGTTGGATGCGGTTGGACGGTTGGATGCGGTTGGACGGTTGGATGCTGTTGGATGGTTGGATGGTTGGACGGTTGGATGCGGTTGGATGCGGTTGGATGGTTGGATGCGGTTGGACGGTTGGATGCTGTTGGTCGGATGGATGCGGTTGGATGGTTGGATGCGGTTGGACGGTTGGATGGTTGGATGCGGTTGGACGGTTGGATGCTGTTGGTTGGATGGATGCGGTTGGACGGTTGGACGGTTGATGGTTGGATGCGGTTGGATGGTTGGATGCGGTTGGACGGTTGGATGCGGTTGGACGGTTGGATGCGGTTGGACGGTTGGATGCGGTTGGACGGTTGGATGCGGTTGGACGGTTGGATGCGGTTGGTTGGATGGATGCGGTTGGACGGTTGGATGCGGTTGGACGGTTGGATGGTTGGATGCGGTTGGATGGTTGGATGCGGTTGGACGGTTGGATGCGGTTGGATGGTTTGATGCGGTTGGATGGTTGGATGCGGTTGGATGGTTGGATGCGGTTGGACGGTTGGATGGTTGGATGCGGTTGGATGGTTGGATGCGGTTGGATGGTTGGATGCGGTTGGATGGTTGGATGCGGTTGGACGGTTGGATGCTGTTGGTTGGATGCTGTTGGACGGTTGGATGCTGTTGGATGGTTGGATGCGGTTGGTCGGATGGATGCGGTTGGATGGTGGATGCGGTTGGACGGTTGGATGCGGTTGGATGGTTGGATGCTGTTGGACGGTTGGATGCTGTTGGTCGGATGGATGCGGTTGGATGGTTGGATGCGGTTGGACGGTTGGTTGGATGGATGCAGTTGGACGGTTGGATGCGGTTGGACGGTTGGATGCGGTTGGATGGTTGGATGCGGTTGGATGCGGTTGGATGGTTGGATGCTGTTGGATGGTTGGATGCGGTTGGATGGTTGGATGCGGTTGGACGGTTGGTTGGATGGATGCAGTTGGACGGTTGGATGCGGTTGGACGGTTGGATGCGGTTGGATGGTTGGATGCGGTTGGATGGTTGGATGCGGTTGGATGGTTGGATGCGGTTGGACGGTTGGTTGGATGGATGCAGTTGGACGGTTGGATGCGGTTGGATGGCGCAGCGCGGGAAACGTTATGTAGGAATAAAATAACTTTTGATGTTTAATATTTCAACTGAATATTTGAGCTGCGAAGCTTTTGAACTTTACAGAACCGTTGGTCTGCTGAGCTCTTCAAAGGAAGGTGAAACAAACAGGAAGTACTGATGGACTCACTTCCTGTTCCTATGCTGAAGCGGTTCTGGAGAGACTGAGTCGGGTCCAAGAAGAACAGACACCCAGAACCGGGCCGACATGTCACTCCACTGGAGTTCTAACTGGGAGGTTCTACTGGTGGAAGAACCAGAACCAGAACGCCTAATTTTTTTGAAAATCTTTATTAACAGCAGAAAAACATTCAGCCTCACATCTCATCACACCAGAACCCAGTGACATCACACCAGAACCCAGTGACATCACACTGTGTAGTCGCAGGTGTGTAGTCGGTACCAGATGAACAAGAATGGTGTGGAGGTGAGAGGTCCAGAACCAACAGAACCTGAGCAGAACCTTGGCTAACTGAAGCCTCTAGAAGCTGCAGGCGGTTCTGAAGTTCATCTCAGGCAGTTTGTTCTGATCCATGTTCTTCTGGGCCGTCCACCTACAGGACTTTCTGGATCAGAACCAACGAGGCAGCAGGTAAGTCCTGGTCTGGTGTGAAGAGCAAACAGATCAGTTCTGGTTCTGGTTCTGATCCGCAGTCTGAGCTCCTGTCTCTACACTGAAGGTTAATTTGCAAACAGATGAGGAGATAAACGCTGGAGCAGCAGCAGGTCAGGAGGTCGGCACGAGGTCACACTCTGTCTCCCGACTTGCTGGGCTGCAGACCCAGAGCCTGGACCGCCTCCAGGTCCAATCCGCCCTTCAGGGTCCTTCGCACTGCAGCACACAGAGAAAACGGGTCAGA